TAATCCCTCATCTCGGAAGTGAGGGTCAATGTTTTTAGTTTTAAAACATCAACCTTTGTCATGACACCGTCATTGGGCTTTTGCGGCTCTTAAGCAGGAAGTAGGTGACCAGCCTGGAACCCACCACACCTTGGTAATGTCGCCGCTGTTTATTTGTTGCGGTATGCCGCAACTTATTCACAGCTAACATTCTTCGGTGAAATTATCCCCCTATCCACAACCCGGGATGCGCCTGGTGGCATTCAGTTCCGCTTAACCCGAGGGTATCTGGTGTCGAATGGCCTACTTCGTTTGTTGTAAACCCTCACNTAAGTTAACGTACTTCTGGGGCATTCTTTTTCGAAGAAGGGAACCCATTAGAGCCTTAGGTTCAACTGAATCGAAAGCTGTTTTCAGGTCAAGGAACACTGCGATCGTTGGTCGTCGGTGGGCGTGATGCAGTCTGAGGACCTGACGCAACGTACAAAATTGATCAATACATCCACGAGCAGGCGGGAATCTGGCTTGCTGTTCAAGGATGTTGATCTCTCTTAAAGGAGTCAGACGTCGAAGTGTGATGGAGACTAGCACTTTGGTGATGACTGTGATTAAACTTATCCCACAGTGGATTTCGCAAGCGCTGTTAGATCCTTTCTTGAAGATGGGAACGATCAGTGCGGAGGAGGAGGAGGAGGAGTAGAAGTGGTAGTAAGAGCAGTAGTAGTAGTAATTAGTAATAGAGTCTACGAGGTTATCGTTCACCCCTATCTTCAAAATGGCAGAAAGAAGTCCGTTCTGATGCTTTTTCTTGCTTCAGAGCTTGAATACAAGTTCGGACTTCTGCTTCTCTCGGAGGATCCCACGTCAATACCCACGGAGCTGCAGTTGCAGATGAAGTATTCCAGCTAGCGCCCTGCCAGCTATTCGCTGATGTTTTCCGCCCAGCAATCAAGCTGTTGATCCTTATTGTAGGTAGCTTGCCCCCTTTTATCGTCAAACATTGCCTAACTGCGGCATTGCTTTTTCTGTCATCCTACCGTATCCGTGGAATGAAACGTGCCCCATATCCATTGCTTAACGTAGCCTGCTGTTGCCGTAGTCAGTTTTTGCACCTCCTAGGGTGCTGAAGTTAGACTAGTACGTCATTCCTACCAAATTCCTGCGACACCTAATGGAGCCGGCTTATCCTCTCTCAGGAGATATTCAGAGTAAGTTGTAATCTTGTAGATCTGATTTCCCCAGATGCGCGAGCTACCCTTGATTCATCAGTCCGGTTATAGCAACAAATGGTAACTTTTCGCCTTCTTATCGTGGTTGAAATATTCTCTCCACGACAAAACAGTGATTAAGAATACCTTGGAAGCTACTGCGAAACGTGCATTTTTGTGAGGGCGAGAATGTAATATTTCTCGTCCTCGAATAAACCGAGGGATTTTGAAGGCCACTATCGACACTATTGAATAAATTGTTCTCAATACTCACAAGCTTTATTCTAAAATCGGTCTCAGTTCTTAAGAAATAAGCTTTCGTGACACACGCTTATTGCTATCATTGCGGTTTATACTCATTTCTCACGCGTGTTCTTGCTCTTTTTCCCCCTGACGTATATAGGTTCAGTCGGACGCATCATGGTGCACATTCCGTACACACACTTATGGAGTCAACCTTGGCGGTTGTATGTCGAGGATGTGGATTTGATAGCTTATCTCTCCGCTTCGGACTTGAAGAAGCGCGTGTCGGTTGAGAAAACCTCATCCGGTCAGGACGCACCTGAGTCCTCAGATAACCAGACAAACTACAAACTGAACGATGGATCTGTCCAATCTAAGAACTGCTCCCCCGCCTCTGCTCTGGAGCAGAGAGCATATTTAGAACAAATGGAATATAAATGGTGGCAGGTCCGTTCTATCGATTTCCTTTTTGATCACTTCTATTTGCTCTCTCGCTTTTATTCGGAACCTTACGTAGTTGCTTAGATAATGGGTATGGTCGGGGGTGGGTGTCTTGGGTTGGGACTGGTCACCCTTCTCTTGCACTTCATGAAATGCTCCCATACTACCAAGCGTCTCGAATGGCACGTGTGCTTTATGTCCACATTTTTAATTACCTCTTTTGTGCATTCAGGCGGTGCATAGTACTGGCGTGAACGATGCTACCGCACTGGCAGCAGCGGTGGCTATGGATTCTACCTCCAACAAATCATCGTGGTGGTCTTATGTGGCTTCTCCTTGCTACAATATCCTGCGAAACATACAGGTAATGTTCTTTTATTTTCGGCTCATATAGTTACGAATAAGTTTTAAAGGGGTATTTAATACTCGCTGGTTAGTGACTTTTGCCGGCACTGCTTAACTTTCGTTTTAAACAAACACTCTGTTTGAATTACACCACCCATATCATGTCCTAGCTCACTTCTGTTATTAAAAATTCTGCGAATCTTCCGACAAAATTCGTTACGTCGCACCTGTCCATGGCACACCAATTACCTCATCTTTCTTATCACACATATTAAAGCACTGGATGCCGTTTTGTTTAGGTTTAGGTGTTTAGGTTTCGCTTGCTTGAGTCGAAAATCCCAAGGATTTGTGTTGCATTCATGTTACTATTACAATGCTCATTGAGACCGCTATTGGGACAAAGCTGTCAATGAAGCCACCCCATATTCCCAGTCAGATCACCATGATTCGCTTGATCACACCGGCCACGAGACACGAACGACACTCATACTGTTATAATTCCACGACGCGTGCCGAGACAGGAAAAAATATTTCTTTGAAGAACATCTAATTTGCAACCCCTGCTACTACTACTACTACTACTCCTACTCCTCCTACTCCTATCCCCACTACTACTTCTACTGCTACTCCCTTTTGAGAGGTTTCATAGAAACCTTGATCTTTTTCGTTCCGCCTACTTACCTTACCGCTGCTTCCTTGGCAAAATCCAGTGAATGTTTTTTTATCGCGAATGCTTGGACCGCATAAACTTACTTTTGCCATCTGAACCATGTGCGGTTTCCCTCCACTCTAGATCACTTTCGTACGATATTAAAATTTAATTGATTGTTTTTTTGAGATTTATCATAGTTGGTTTTCGCTTTCTTAGTTTGCTAAATCCTGTTGTTTGTTTCCTTTTATCACCCATGCACCCAGATTGAAATTCACAACGTACGCCTTCGGATTGTTCCGCAGAAGACCGCATCAACTTCGCCAACCGCCCCTGCGTTCGGTGTATTCATGATTTGTTTGGATCACCTGACCGTGAAAGCTGCTGACCTTCAGCCTCAGGTTTGTTCAACCCAGCTGGTGACTGTATATCTTCATAAATATTTCCATCATAAATCTGATCTATAACACGAACGTAGTTTTGCTTACTTGCTACTCCTAAGCAGTTCAGTCAGGAATCAAAACTTATTTAATTTTCCTTGTACTTTGCGGGTTAGGTGCTACCTCGAACTTGGTGGTTGGCGTTTAATTGCGCCTCCAAAGCCCTCCAATGAACAGGCGCCTTGTCAAAGATAACTTTTGGAATATCTAGTGAATCAGTAGCGATTGATGTAGTGCAGGTCGATAGAAACCCATTAAAACATGCCAAGTAATCTTTGTGTGACATTCATACCGGTGACAGATCATCGATCAAGTTGGGCCCTTTGCTAGATGGGAAGCTTCAAATGGCTTTACAGTTCATCTTGGAACA